GCTTGACGCAGTATCGTACTGAATTCAGTGTTCCTGTTCAGGAGGATCTCTGCCCATCTTTTTTTTGATAGAGTGATGCATTTGATTACTGAGTAGCAGTGTTTTAAGGATGCAAGCATGTATTAATTTGATTTCGATTTTGTAGCTTTCTCTGAAGTTTCTGATCCGGCTACTTAGCTGCTGTGCGTTTGCAGGGTGGATTGCGACCTTTAAACAGTGCGCAACTGCACACGGATGATAGCAGATTTTATACAAATTTACTTCCTACAGATTCCAAGGTAACACTATTTTTTAAATTTTATTTGGGCAATCTAATTCCCCAGCATGCCTAAATATTTCAGAAATTTTGAAGATACAAGCAATGAATATCTCTGGCTAAGAGCTTGAAGGAGGGCGGGAGCCTGAAATCTTCTATGCAGTTTGTTTGGCGCTGTTGACCCACCGTCGAGAGGGGAACACAATCGAATTTTGACAGTTAGTGAAAGCACTGAAAGTGCCACTTAGATCTCCCAAACAAGCAATCCTGTATGTACAGTGACTTGGTAACCTGTCTGTGTTTCATCCCTGATCTGTAATACTGGCAAATTCCACTTATGTCTGCGTGCGTTCCTTCTTAACGACACCTGGTCAACTGGGAAAGGTTGGTTATGAGAAGACGGAAGCATGGGAAGTTGGCGTAGTTGCATTGGTTCGAGGCTTTTTAAAACTTGCGTTCGGACACTGAAACGGTGCACGTAATTTTGTAACCTGTTTTTGCGAAGAATGCATGCGCTTGTCTTGCCTCAGTGCTGGATGCAATTCATTTGTCATTGCGTTATTGTGGCAGCACACTTTTCCGTAAATTTTCATGTCTGAATTGCAGGAAATGAAGAGTCCAGCAGTAGATTTTTTCGCAGCAGATTTCAGTCAGTTAAACGTAGACGGTGAATCGAAGGAGACGAGTATTTCGTGAAGTTGATGTGTCGTATCCGCCACTGTAGAATGTTCCATCCCTCTCTTTCTCTCTCTCTCTCTCTGCCATATGCTGTTTGCC